AAAAAAAATACAACAAAAAAAATAACTGCCGCAGATTCCATTTGATTTTTGCGAATAGCAAAAGAGCAATTGTGCCGCTACTTTTTTGCATGGAACAACTAGAAGAGTTGCAGCAATTCATCACTGCCATCCAAAGTCATTGAAAAAAAGAAGAAAAAGTGCCGCAAGATCAAGAAGCCGCAAGATCAGAGGAAATAAAAAATTGAAGCTGGTGAAATTTGTTCTTTACATCCAAATTGTGTAGCCGCCAATTCCTTTGTCAACCGGGCCGCCACTCAATTAGAGAGAGTAATTGGAGAGATCCACTATAATTTGTTTGTGGCAGCCGTCGAATCAATTTGCACCACACTCCAAGAAAAAAATGCAATCCGATTTTTCTTTCCGAATGGAGGCTCAATTCAAGCGGTTAGAGATTTTGATCGTGTGTACTCATGCATTAGACAAACTTATTGCTCTATTAGAGAATATTCTTTATGGCGAAATTGAGCACGACGACGGAGTGTGCACACTTTACGATCAAATAGATGAACTTATAAAGAATCTTCAATCCTTCCGTTCTATTGGAGGTAAGCGAAATTATGATTCTGACTTACACGCATTTGACATTGAAATCTCTTGCGCGATACAGGATTTGGTACGTGGGACCCCAATTTTGCCTAGTATGATTCCTTGGGAGTTACAACACTTTAGAACAGGCATGTTGGGCGCTATAAAAGTCCTCATTGATAGTCCGCCTTCTTTGCCAAATCCGGTCTCTACAGTAATTGAGCAAAACGCTGAAGCACATGATCATGCATCCAAGGAGAAATCAGCGTTGACTCAGTGAAACCAGGTGCTCCGACTTGACCACATCTACAAGATCAAACAACTTGATGGTGTCAATCAAAATAGGTAAGTGTGCTTGTTTACCATCTGCATCTGTCACTTTGTCAACACTTTTTGGAATATCATACTCTGCTATGACCACACAGCTGAGGTATAAAAGTCTTGAAAAGCAGGCTCTGGCTTGTCGACATTGGCAACATCTTCTGCAAGAGGACTTTCATTTTTTTCCACAACGTTGGACCTCCCGTTATTTTTGTTTATGGCTTCAGGTCCGATGTCCACTTCATCTCCAACTTGTGAGTGAACGCTGATTTCTCCTTGGATGCGTGATCATGTGCTTCAGCGTTTTGCTCAATTACTGTAGAGACCGGATTTGGCAAAGAAGGCGGACTATCAATGAGGACTTTTATAGCGCCCAACATGCCTGTTCTAAAGTGTTGTAACTCCCAAGGAATCATACTAGGCAAAATTGGGGTCCCACGTACCAAATCCTATATCGCGCAAAAGATTTCAATGTCAAATGCGTGTTAGTCAGAATCATAATTTCGCTTACCTCCAATAGAACGGAAGGATTGAAGATTCTTTATAAGTTCATCTATTTGATCGTAAAGTGTGCACACTCCGTCGTCGTGCTCAATTTCGCCATAAAGAATATTCTCTAATAGAGCAATAAGTTTGTCTAATGCATGAGTACACACGATCAAAATCTCTAACTGCTTGAATTGAGCCTCCATTCGGAAAGAAAAATCGGATTGCATTTTTTTCTTGGAGTGTGGTGCAAATTGATTCGACGGCTGCCACAAACAAATTATAGTGGATCTCTCCAATTACTCTCTCTAATTGAGTGGCGGCCCGGTTGACAAAGGAATTGGCAGCTACACAATTTGGATGTAAAGAACAAATTTCACCAGCTTCAATTTTTTATTTCCTCTGATCTTGCGGCTTCTTGATCTTGCGGCACTTTTTCTTCTTTTTTTCAATGACTTTGGATGGCAGTGATGAATTGCTGCAACTCTTCTAGTTGTTCCATGCAAAAAAGTAGCGGCACAATTGCTCTTTTGCTATTCGCAAAAATCAAATGGAATCTGCGGCAGTTATTTTTTTTGTTGTATTTTTTTTTGGAATTCTCTCATTAATGAGAGCACCAATTGATACGAATATCGTATCGAATAGGGAAGAACTTCGAGCGTTCTTCAAGCTCCAAGAAGATGAGGTAGAGAAAAATGGAAAACTTCGAGCGTTTCCGGGCTCCAAGAGAATAGAGAAGGAGATTAGGGTTTTGATATTTCTTTATTGATTTCATAATAGCGGGGAAGGATTACAATATATAGAGAGTAAAGCTACGCTAGTTGACCTAATGGGCTCGGGCCCGTACTAAACCCTAATCTATAGAATATTAATAAATAATACTATTTAACAAATAATATAACTAATCTATTATCATATCAGAAGGTGACATGTAAATTAAAACTGAGTTATAGGGCAGTTGTTAAGCTTCAAACGACATATATAAAGTCTAAGGGGCTGTTTGTTTTAGCCTTTTAATGGTTCAGATGTCTGAATGGTTCAGCACTTAATGGTTCAGACTGTTTGTTTCAGCCTCTTAATGGTTCAGATGTCTGAATGGTTAAGAGATTTGCCTCTGAATGGTTAAGTATTATACAGAGTCTGAATGGTTAAGACCTCTTATCTGAATTGATCAGACATTTGCCTCTGAATAGTTAAGCAATATACTAGCTCTTAATAGTTCAGACCTCTTACTGGTTCAGCACTTAATGGTTCAGACCTTTTACTAGTTCAGCACTTAGCCATTCAGAAGTTGCCAAACAGCCCCTAAGTGCTTTATATTCCTCTGAAAGCCAAAAATAGGGGGCATCTCAAATGTGTCTTTACAACTCTTTGGTCTCTTTCTATATTTAACTTGACACAATTCTCATAAAAACTTAAAAATTTATGGTCAAATTTAAAAGAAGAAAAAAAAAGGACAGAGATGTTGTTACATAAAATAAATGTAGACATGTAGTTGCCATGTGAGGAAACTGTTGACGGACACATGAAATGCTACGCTGAGTTTGTACATACACAAATAAAAAATAAAAAAAATTTAAAAAAAATGTTTGCATGGCATGGGAGTGCTTTATAATTTTTTATGTGGTCTAAATTTAGTAAGATCTCAAGGGACCAACTTACTTGATGAACTTTCGATAATTTTTGTTTAGAGAAATTTATCAAAATAGGCCTAAAACATAACGACTTTCTCAATATAGGATCATATGTTTTTATTTTTCAATGTAGGACTTTTGGTCATTAACAAGTACGGAGTAGTCATTATTCAAGTAAATGTCTAACATTACTGGACATTATTCCTCCCACGAGGTCATTATTAAGTCCTATTTAGGGAATAAAAAAGTTTAAGTCCTACATTAGAAAAGTCATTATGTTTTAGTCCTATTTAGTGCAAATTTCACTTTTGTTTAATCGTATATTTTCATTTATTATTTGATGAATAAAATATTTTTGTAACATCTTATTTTAAATTTTTCCTGTCCCGTAAAACTTTCTAATTTTCTCATCTTACATGTCTCATAAAACATACTTCCTTCGTTCCATAAATATATACCATTTTAACTTTTAAGAAATTAAAGGGATGAATACTTTTGTATTGACTTTCCTCAAAAGCCGCCCTCGTTATCAATATGTCATTTGTATTATCATTTATAAATCAATTTATAGATACGATTATTTTAAAAAATGAGATTTAGTACATTGTTCAAACAGTTTAAATTTTAGCATTAACATTTTTTTAGTTAATACTCCGAGTGTGTGATTGAAAATTATTCAAAATATTGATACTAATCACAAATAGTATTCTCAAACAAAGTCTAAGCGAATGATTTTGGTGATGCTGGGGTTCTGTCTTCCCGACCCGGCCCACACCACAATAATGTAGGACACTTTTTCCATAGAAACATACATTAGTCTTCCATGTGGCCGGCATATGCACTCCTTGCTACACTACGTTTTTTCTGTTTCCCCATTCCTTTCATTAATAACGCCAAAACTTGAACTTCCAATTTTTTCCGAAATAAATTTCGGTGCTTGACTGCATATAGTGTAAGGTCTCACTTAGGTCTATTTTGATTTTTACGGATCAAATAAAATGAACTTTAAGCTTCACTTAAACAAAAATTGTTATGTATGTTGGAATAAAAAAGATTTTATTAGATTAAATCATGTTCAGAACTTTTAAAATTTTATTTCATTGTACTGTTATGTAATACTCCATCCATTCCTTTAAATCCTCCTCATTTTGACTTTGGACCAAAATAAAGAAAGTGTAATTTTGATTGACTTTCCAATGTCGTCTCTGATGTGATGGGTAAAAGTAAGATGTGATAGTTGAGTTATTAATGAAAAAAGTATGATGTGATAGGTAGAGTATGAAAAAGTAAAGGTAAAAGTGGGTTTTAATAGAAAGTGAAAGTGTTTTAGGTTTTTTCAGCTTGACTTTAAAAAGTCAAGTCAAACTAGACAAATATACAATGAATGTAATATCAAAGTGAAAAGAACAGATTGAAACACTGAAAATAAAACTTTGATGTTTTGATTTGACTTTTTAAAAGTATTAGAGACCTCAATATATAGATAGTGTTAATTGAGAAAAAAATGAGAAAAATTAAATATTTAAATCTAAAAAGAATCGAGTATTAAAGTGAAATTTTGAAAAAACGCAAAACTAAAATCTAAAGTGAAATACTAAAAATAAATTAATTTTTTTAAAAAGCTTTTTTAATTTACTAATTGAATAATTATTTGAGATTAAATTCATTGTTTTTTCAATATTCCGCATTGTTTGTATATTAAAAAAAAATATGGAGGCGCTAGTCCGCTCGGTGCCCCTTAATTATATATACTCTCTCTCGAGATTCCTGGATCCGCCACACTACTTTCACCCTAATGCCGTGTTAGTCGATCCGATGCATAACCTCAAAGCCATCTCCATTCCACAACATATTGATCATCTGCCTCGCGCGCCGGTCATTTCAACTAAAACTAGCAATAAAGAAAGTGATGAAGGAGGAGGATAAGGTTTGCATTATATATATTGGATGGACTACTACTAATAAAAGCAGTAAGTGGTGACCGCCAAGTACATCACATGGCCATGTTTCTCCAACTGCATGAATAGCACATGGCTTTCATTTTTCATTTTCACTCCCCCTAATTAATTATTATTCACTTTTTTTTATTCTACAAAATGTACTCCGCCCGTATGATAATTAATCTATCTCAAATATGAGATATAATCTTCTGGACACAAATAAATTATATGTTTACGTATGGCTTTATACATGTGATGGACATTTTAATTTGCGTTGATATTGATTGAAATATTAACAGTTGGTCACGTAAAACCGTGCGGACCCAAACTCCCAAAGGATCGGAGTGATGTTTATAGAGTGACAGAGCTAGGCGATTAGGAGCTAGGCAGCACATTACGAGAGTTCGGGGGCAACGATCACTGATTTTTTTTTACAAACACATTTAAAAATGGCAAAAGATAATACTCCCTCCGTCCCGCTATATTCGTCCACTTTTGACTTTTGGAACTGTTCATCTAAGCACTTTGACTCATCAAATTCTCTCAATGTGTAAGCCTAAATATAGTCATGTGATCCTGTTTGATTTGTCTTAACATATAGATTATTAATACTACGTATATAGTTTCTATAATTTTTTAATATACAAATTACAAGATAAAATGGATTAAAGAAGTGCATTGGATAATGTGTAAAAATGAAAGTGGACAAATACTCTGGGACGGAGGGAGCATTGTTTTTTAAAGAATCAGTGGTCGACACCACAGGATCCCCCTAGGCCCGCCCATGCATGTAATTACACTACAGATGACACTAAAATTGAGAAGTGGTGCATTTCACAAATAACAATTCTCATAAACAATAACTATAGATTATCTTGGAATTTTATAAAATATTGTAAATAGAATCGTACTGGAAGGAGCTTAAGTGCCTCCTTGAACCATATCTAATGGTGAGTCTCAGCTGCCACTTTGAGTGGAACCAAAATAGGCAGCATATCCTTAAAATTAAAGGATATTTAAAATTTTGGGATTCTCATTTTCAATAAAGGCAAATTCTTTCGTGGAACTAATGTACTCCCTCCGTCCGGAAATATTATTCTCATTTTCCTTTTTGGTCCGTCCGGAAATATTCTTTCCATTTTCTTTTTTAGTATACTTTTTAAGGCTAAATATCAATAATACCCTTCTATTTTATCACAAATATACTGTTTTAGTACTTTTTAATAATAAAAGGAGATTTAAAAGTTTATAGTATGTGCATTTTTGAAAATTTTGTATTTTTTTACTATTCCTTAATAAGCGTGCCAAGTCAAGACGGGAAGAACATTTCCGGACGGAGGGAGTATATGCTTGTGTTTATGGATCTTAGTGTATTTGTAGCATAAAAGAATTGGGTCTTTGGCAAAATATAAAATATTCACACGAAAGCCCATGTAAAATGTGAGAAGATAAATATTTTAAATGAAAACTTTAGAAAGAAAATCCCTTAAATAGGAGTAAAAGATATGTCATATCCCAAAATAGGATCTCAAACTTAAACTTTCCTAAATAGGAGTAATTATTCTAATCTCTATTAAATCCGGGCTTTCACCCCTTTCAGATCAAACGCTATCATGCTCCTTTTTCTCTCTCCTTCTACACATTCTAACTGGTGTCCCAACCGTGCCGCATGATTCGCCTGTCCATCTTAATCTCTCCAATTAGTCTTTTTCACATATTGAGAATGAACCAGAGCTTCCAATTGTTCTTTTTCATGGGGGTCTGCAAAATGTTAGGAAGTACATTAGTAAAAGATAGAGATACGATCTGGGCACCTTGATTTTTATTCCTTCTTATAAAATTTTGATTTTACAATAATTGAACCGAATTGTTTTTTTTTGACATTATACAGGAATAAGTTTGTCATTATGTAGCTAGTGATATGTTTGTCATTGTGCATTGTCGTATTTGGCATTGTAGATTCGATTGCCACTCATGCTATGCATTTCTATGTATCATTACAATAGCTCATCTAGTCTTTGTTTTATTAAGAAGGAACATTTAACCATTATCAATGATCACTGCTGTATATATATGAAATGATGTCGAAGATTAGTTTTTTTTTGCTATAATAAAAAAGGTAAAGAGAAGCATCAGGGAAGATTAATTGGTCTACCAATAAAACTTTCGTTGCATGCTTTTAGTGAGCTGTAGAAGACTGACAGTGTCATTGGATTTGGTTAAACATTATGTTATTGTGTAACATTGTAACATTATATATGAGCATATGTGGCATTATATATGGACATCTATGGTATTATATATTGTCATATGTGACATTACATGGTGCTATGTTTGATATTATTATGTCTTTCTTTGACGCTTTATTGACTATTAATGTGGCACTGTGGCGACGATGGTGCAGATTGTGATGGTAGTGTTGTTGATAATGGTATAGAGCAGTGATATCGTCGGCAGTGACGACGAAAAATTAAAGGCATCAATAGTAGGTTTCGTTTGTAGCAGTATGGCGGAGCAGAGGACGGCGGTGGTGGAGATTCAAGTGATAGTGGCAGGTATGTGGCGGAGACGATGGCGGCGATGGGCATCACCGCCGACGATGATTGCGGTAGTGGGCCTCGCTGTCGGTAGCATGCTGTTGTGAAATTGGCCGAATTTTACCACTGGTATTGACCGCAAATGCAGCGCGTGTGGGGAGCATTTTTTTTTTTGTTTTATTAATTAAGTTAAAGTCTTTATTTTAACTTTTTATTAAAAATAAAAAAAATCAAAAAATCAAAAACATGAATGCAAAAAAAAATAGTCGCATGCAGTTACTTAGTATAGTGCTCCTTAAGTTAAAATAAATCTGATCGTGCTCATTAAGTATAGTCGCATGCATCTTAAAAACAATGTGCGTGTGGGAGCATTTTGTTGTTTTATTAATTATGTTTTACTCATATAGTCGTATTTAGAGGAATTTAAGTTTGAACTCGTATTTTGAGGATATGACATATGTTTTATTCCTAATTTGTTCCTTCTCCCAACTTTAGAACTATAAAAACATTATATTTCAATAAAAATCTGGGACCATGAAAGAATCACTCTTCAATAAAAAATCTCATTTTAAGCCTACTTTATACAAATAAACAAATAAATACCGAGTTAATAAAAGAGCCCACATTGATATCCATATTGTGAGTTGTAACTTGCGTTGTCATATAAGAATTGCTTATGTTAGAAAGCCCAACATTGGTATTCATATAACCACGTATAACTTATATTTTGAGCTTGGGCCAAAAAGCTCTCTTGGCTGACCATATTAGTGTTTCGTCTAATTCGAACCATAACATATTGTTTGGGCCCATCCAATAAGTGCGTTTTGCTTACCCATTGATTTGTTTGGACAATTTTTTGGTCCAAAAAGATTGTTTCTCAAGACTTATGTTAGAGAGCCCAACATTGGTATTGATAATATTATTAACTTCATTATAATGTAACATCTAAAAAAAATACAACATCTCTTGAAATATAAGGTTTCAATCTACTAAATTAGAAAGAGTCAATGTCTTCACGCGGGGAGTTACAACCGTGACTGCTCATATGAGAGTGTTACAATTATGTTATTCAACCACAAGGTCTTTGTCAATACAGATTTTCTGTTCTACATTATGTTTACTTAATTTCCAATTTCATTAGTCCTAAAATAAATTTTACAATTCAAGCTCCCAGAATTTAAAAAAGGATTGATGAATAAAAATAGCACAACAAAAGATATTTAGATCAAACAGAGAAATTCGAAAGTATTTTGAAACAAAAAGAATTACATACGGTATGTAAAATTGTACTCCATCTGTTTAAAAAAACTACATACTTGTTATTATTCACATGTTAAACTAACTCTATTTTCTTTATGTATTATTATCGATCATTTTATAAAATAAATAATAATAATAATATTATTATTATTATTATTATTAATAGTACGTAATAATAATAATAATAATAATAATAATACGTTAAATAATAATACATTTTTACCAATCATTTGATGATAATAATAATAATAGCATATTCAAAAAATAATACGAATGGCCCTTCTCAACTCACGATTATAGTTTGGTAACCCGTATATATTATGTTGTGCTCATCAATAAATTTTGACAGAAAAAGCTAAGAATATAATGTAGGGATTGAGACAAAAGAGACAACCATTATTTGTTTATATTGGCAATATATACCCCGTGTATGGATAACCTTGGGTCATATATTATATGAAATATCTCCCAAAATAATCATTTAATTCTTATTTTGCTTTTTTCATTGATTATTTAATTTAAAAAAATAGTTTTAATATATCTTGTTTTATAAAAACTTTGAAATAATTTTGAAATATATAATCTATATCTATATTATTTTTACACTACTTTATTAATTTCTACTTATAATACTCCGTCCATTTATTCAGTATTCAAAATTCACGAATTTTTTTTAAACGAACCATATATACATACGAGTCATCCATGATATCACTGCAACTTTGTTATCAAGACCATTTTTATTAGTCTATTGACAAGATGTTCATTGTATGAAGAATAAAAAGGCTTCTACATTTGTGCCCTACACGCAATTTCATTTTTTAATCGATACGGAGTATTATTTTTCATGCAACTTATTATTCCCTCCTTCTCAAAGTATTCTACCCCTTTATAAAACAAAGCAAATTTTGAATTTTTTAATTAATCTTATTTAAAGATTGATATACAAATTAAAAATAAATTTACATATTTAAAAATTACGTCAAAAGTTTTACAAAACAAGAGGGGATAGGAATATTTTATTTTTTTCAATTCATTTTATTTAAAAATTAATATAAAAATTAAAAATAGAACTTACATACGTATTTAAAAACAACGTCAAAATTTTAAATAATAAGAGATGACAATAAAAAAATTTTATCAAATAAGAAATGAAAAACTACAAATTAAAAATTGAAAATTATCATGAATTTTGAACAGCATAGAGTGGCCGGCATCCATCGTGGAATGAGGGAATAATATATAGTTGTAAAACAAAAAAATATATACTTCTTTCGTCTCTAAAAACTTCTTTTGTATTGATTTTTAAGAGATTTAAAGGGGTATATATTTTGATATTTACTTTAAAAAATGTCCTTATTGTGAATGATAAAAATAATATGTGAAACCTAGGTTACTAGTGAATAGATTTGATGTGATATGTAAGATTAAAATTAGAATAGGTAAAATGAATTTTAATAAAAAAAGAAATGTTTTTTGAGACAGATAAAAAGTAAAAGATCAGAGACACAGTTTGGGAAATTAGTAAAAGTTTTAATGTTGTTTGACACACTTATGACGGATGTTAGTTGTGGATTAAACTGAGTATATATATATTATTTTCAATTAACGAGTATCAACTCGATAATTAATTCATTTTTTAAGCTAATTTTAAAAAACATAATTATTGAGTACTATTTTAAAAATTACTCAATAAATAACTAAACACATTATTTAAATGGTCAATGTACGCTTCTAAAGTCATGAGAATGGCACATAAGATTTAAGTGACCAAAAATGAATGCAGTAAATCAAACCAATTAAGCAATGAATAAATCAAACAAATTAAGCCAAAAACGCGCACTTATTTACATTATAATCAAAATTAGAACTTAGTCAGAGATAGTGGAAACATCTAATCTAGCCCTGTTTGGAAGAGAGAGAGAGAGAGAGAGATGGGTAGTGATAATTATGTTTCAACACACAATCTATTTAGGTTTCATTCACAATCCCATTAAACTGATCCACCACAAATCTTGTACGTAGGGACGACAAATAATACAAATGACAAATCGACCGAATTGATAGATTCAGATTTGTATCTTTTTTTTTATATATTAAAAAAAATATTTACGAGTACACACTAATAATAAAAAATAAATAAATAAATAAAAATGAGCTAAAAATATATAGCTAGTTTAGGGTTGGTCGGTCTTCCCTCCTGTGGAAATTCCTGTGACAGCCGCAAGCCGCGCAGGTGAGGGCGGCGGCGGTCCCCTCGGCGCCGCATGGCATGAACTCCCGGCAGCCATCGACGGCGTGTCCGCCGATGTTGGCCGCATGGTTCCGTTGGCATTCGGCGTAGCGAACGTTGTTGTTGGCGGAAGAAGTGGGCGGTGCTCCGGTGTTCCTCCTCGTCATGTCTTTCATCACCACCACTTTCGTCTTCTTCATGATAGATATATATATCTATTATTAATTCTAACTTTGATCAATTCGATCAAATTAAAAAGCACACAAATTCAAGATCAAAGAGCTAGAATGTGAGAACATATAAATGTATATATAATGCGCTGGCTTGGCTATATATAACTTGCACATGCTTTATACATACATACATACATACATACATACATACATACATATATATATATATATATAAACCGGAGTATATAACTATATATGCAGCCCTAAATCAAAAAAAATACTCCATAATACAAAGTGAAATTTGCACTAAATCGGACTAAAACATAAGTCATTTTTCAATGTAGGACTTATTTTTTTTATTCACTAAATAATACTCCCTCCGTCCCAAAAAGATTGGTACATACATATTGACTTTTTGAGAAATTAAGGGAGGGATATTTTGGTATTTATTTTCCAAAAATACCCTTGATGTGATGGGTAAAAGTAGGATGTGATGGATAGATTATTAGGAAAAAAGTATGATGTGATAGGTAGGGTATGGAATTAAAAAGTAAGAGGTTAAAGTAGTTTTTAATAGAAATGTAATGGATTTTATGGGACGCAATTTTATCGAAACGTGTCGGACTTTTTGGGGCGGAGGGAATACTTAATAATGTCTAGTGGGAAAAATGATGTTCATTGATGGTGGACATTTACTTGAATAATGACCAATGGTCCTACATTCGGAAATAAAAAGATATAATCTTATATTAAGAAAGTCATTATGTTTTAGTCCTATTTAGGTAGACAATATATTTGTTGCTATATTAGGCTCTAATGCTCTCCGCAAGAAAAAAAGCGTTAGGTCGTCTAAATAGTCAAGGATGACGTATCAAAACGTTGTCGTTTTTGTTCGGTTTGAAAGCCCACACAATACCTCATAAAACATGGTGAGTGTTTGAAATATTAAAGAGGAATAGAATGTGAATATCTGATGGATATTTGGCCCAACGAGATATAGAATCCACCTAGTAGGCTATTACGTACTATAATCTGTCTGAGATTTGCGTAGAGTGGGTCGAAAGGAGATCGCTTAAGAGTTTGGGGTTGGGCCACGAATTAGCTGGTAAGAGACGATCAATCCCAAGGGTCGTGGGTGACTGATGAACGATTCTCCTATCCTCCCATAATTGGCGCTGATCAAATCAATCGTGAGAATTGGAAGAAACCGACAAACGCTCAATTATACCATAAAGATCGTACTGTGTATATACTATAAATGGGGAGTAGAACTTCCTTTGCGATCCCAAGCGAATACAAGCAGTATTAAGATCATACATTGCGAGTTTTGTTGTTGTCCTTATTATTGTTTTTCGTACATCCATAGTTGGTGAGCTAAAATCCACCATATATAGTGATACTATCCTTCATTGTTTTTCGATAGCAGTGCCTCAATTAAGGGTACCTAATTATGGTGTTCTCTTCCCCTGTCCCTGGCATGGATTAGTGATATATAGGCTGTAGTATATGCTGATTTACTTTTTTTGTGTGTAATTGGACCTATTTTTTATATTTCGGTTAAATATTTTGTCCTTAAAAAAGGTTTCCTTGACTTAATTCATAAAAAAATAAATTACAGTTTTATTTAGAAAAAAATTTCGTGAATTGAACAACACATTTAGATTGGAACTCAAAGAAAAATATTATAACGCAGAAAGTGTATTTAAAATTTATTTAGAAAAAAGAAAAAAATTGTGAACTCACTATTACTTACACTTATGAAAATACTAAATGTTCTCTCTATTCACATTTAACTAACCTTTAAAATTTTTTTAAATACAGCAAAAGTTGAATGAATTTCTGGACACATTCAAATCTATATGCTTCTATTTTTAAAAGAAATCAACATACATTTGTTTCTAAATGTATCAAACACATCATAACGACGAATTAAAAAAGAATGTAAGAGTTGTTAATATGAAATGCGCGTAGAGCTCGTGTTACCGATGGAAACGTGTTACACCCAGAATGAATGAATATGTTGATTAAGAAATGGGATTAACAAAGACACAAATTAAGTTAAGCACGACAAGTAATAATTATTGACTAATACATACAGTAAGTAATAATTGTACTTATTGCACGAATTAAGAGTGACATTAGTACATTATTACCTGTCATTTGATGATAAGATTGGTATAGGCTATATGAAATACGGAGTAATCCAGGCCATTGATTAATTCTTTTTTTTTTTTTTTGAAAAAATGTTGTAAAGTGTGCATTTGTGTAAGAACCTTCTCACTAGATGATATTGTAAAATTTTGCAATCTCATTCATTATTTATCCGTTTATTATTTATAGAGTTAAATTTAATCACTTTGCTGGCCTATCTTCATTGTTTATTTGATAAAATAATATATTCATGTTAAATCTAATTTTATACTATATTTTGAGTCAGATTCTAAATATGTACTCCCTCCGTTCCAAAAAGAATGTTACATTTCATTTTTTTGCGCATCACAAAAAGCACTGTTACTCACATCTAAAAATTCTAAAATTTACCATATTTACTCTTTATTATAAGATGAAATTGTTTTGAAAGTTTTTTTGGCATTTGAGACGATATAAAAATGTTTTAAGGGATGCGCAAAAAATGAAACGTAACATTCTTTTTGGGACGGAGAGAGTATTTTTTATAGAAAATAATTTGAAAACAATTTAAATCAAATATTATAATGCATAATGAGAAGATAATTGGTGAATGCAAGAAATATTTAGTGATTATAAGTGATTGCCCAACAACCGAATATTATAAAGAGCAATTAGAATTTGATCAAACGAGTACGAATTAAATTGATAACATAATTACGAAATGCGAGCAGAAGGTAATGATGGGAAAGCTTTGCTTAAATGGCACAGAAAGTGATTGATTATACCTCATTGCTCTAACCCACTGAACTGATCCGCGGGTCCTATCCGCAAACACATTTGAATACAAATTACTATACCCCAAAAAATGTATCCTAAATTCTATCTCAAAAGGGTATATTAATTTTTAAGTGTTTATATTGACACAAAATACTAGTTAATTAGAAATATATGCACTGACATTTTGTATTATTGTAAAATAACACACTACCATCACATTAGCCCAAAATGTTGGTGCATGTCTTCGGAATACAAAGTGGTGTACAATTTTTAATGTACAAATATCATTTCCGTTTCAATTATAATCTCATTCTTTTGAAACAAAAGGTGATAAAAATTTATTTTTATTTTATCAAATAATCAATCCAAACACACAAACAAACAAAAGTTTTCATGATTTTGGGAAGAGTAGTGAAGTGTAGCATTCTTTTTTGAATGGAACGAGTATTATTATTGTTGTTGTTGTTGTTATTATTATTATTATTGCATGTGATATTATTATCACTATGATTCTTTTGACCCGAGTTAAATTAACTTTAGAATGACCCAGGGTCTCTATGATGTTTCATTAAAAAAATTATAGGTTATCATCCCTCTGCCTCCTTGCACAGTTGTACGCCACTCACGCCAGCACTCCCTAAACCGCCAATGCAATTTGGCCTCTGCCAAATCGTCAATCTAGGGGGCGTGCTGGAGTGGGGGCAAGGAGGGTTGAAGGGTAAAAATCATCAATTTTACCAACGAAACATCGTGGATGCCCAAAATACCAAAATTATTTACATTCACCTTTGGCTCGGGTCAAATGATCTTTGTTATTTATTTATTTATTTTTATTATTATTATTATTATTATTATTATTATTATTATTATTATTATTATTATTATTATTAGTGTTGTTGTAATTAGGGGTGTTCAAAAATTTCCGTCTCGAAATATCTGTCCACGATCCAGGTAGATTCGATTCGATATTTTTATTTCTCCGGTTCTTTTCTTTCTAATTTTCCATTGCAACAAAGATACAGGTCATTCAATAATTTAAATTAAAAGAAATCATTATGATAGTAATGAGTAATTGTGTCCCAAAATGTCATTTTTGTGTATTATCATGTATATTTTTTATTGTGTGTTTGAATTGCACCATGAATTATCATTAGAAAGTTTTTATGATGTAATATGTGTGGTTTTAAGCTATGAATTGAGTCCTTACTCCTTAGTACTCCGTAACAATCTTTGATAATAGTATTTCAAAAAAAAACAAAAAGAGATTAAATTATAAAGATTTTTAAAGAAGATTGGAAGCTATTACAAAGTTCAGTGGTCAAAAAATTACTTGTCAAGAATGGGATTCGAACCCATGCCCTTTCGGACCAGTACCTGAAACTGGCGCCTTAGACCAACTCGGCCATCTTGACGTGTGCTTCCATTCATCCGCAGGTTGTATATATTCAAATTTATTCTTTGAACACATATTTTGCAAAAGTACATTTTTTTTAAATGCAATGGTGTACTATAATTAATTCCTCAAAAGATGGGAAATACAGTCAGGGGTGAAAAAGTATAAAATTTAATTTAATATAATTTGGTGTATTAAATTTTTTAATCATTTATTCTATGTCCCAATGTATTCGTCGAGTTTAATTTTTTTTCAAATTAAATAAACTTTAAGTATCATTTACTTTTAATTTAGATTGCATATTAATACATTAATAAAATAAAATAAAATAAGATAATTTTAGAGTTACATCATCCAAAATGATGTAACATTGTGATATCATTGCTGCAGGACATCATATGAATTTGGTTAACATTTTGGTCAAAAGTTTAACCCATAAAGTCAAAAAAACTTATGAAGTGCAATTGTAAGGTTTATGCCTATCAGAAGGGGGTGAGGTCGGGTGGAATGTTATGAGAAATATGAACCATTAATTTTACGAACAAAGCAACGTAGATGTTCTAATTGAAACGGTGTCACGATGTTATATCACTTAGGGTGATGCAAATTTACAATTTCTCAATAGAATTTTGAATGTTTTCAACAAGTTAAGGAGGGTGTATTCAATCTGGATTTTAAAAGATTGTATAAGATTATTTAAAATTTATGGATTATGTAAAATCCATGGATTGTTGTAATTCTACGTCGACTTAGATATATTTTATTGTATTTTTTTGGCAAGATTTTAAAAGATTGTGTTAGATTGTCTAAAATCCAAATAATAATAATGTGGAACAAAAAAATTTACCGTGAACAAAAATAAAAATAAAAAAGCCAAAAATCGATCAAAAGCAAAAAATTTACCGTGAAAACAAAATTGAACTATTAGAAATAAATTGAACAAAAAGCAAAAAAAAAGTCAAGTCAAAATTGAACCAAAAGCAAAAAATTGAAAAAATATAGAGTGTAAAATTTTCCATGAAAAAGAAATTGAACAAAAGCAAAAAAATTTCCTTGAAAGGAAAATCAAACAAAAACAAAAGAAAAAAATTGAAAAAAAAAATATACTCCGCCGCCATGCAATCCTATTTGTCGCAAATCTTTTCTCGTTCATATGCCGTCGTGTTTGCAATTGACACCGGTACTCAGTACTCTTCTAGCATACGAAGTAGGGGACGAAGGTAATAGATTCGAGAGGTGAAATACTTACGTTATATGAGAGATTTGTAAATGGATTTTTATTTATATGATGAATTTTGAAATCCATCAAAATCTGCTTTTAAGTTTTAACTAAAATCTTAAAAATCTGTAGACTTTTTAATATCTTTAGATTTTGATAGATATTTTAAAATTTTAATTGAATACATCTAGATTTTTAATGACTTTTTAAAATCTTAATTGAATACCCATAGACTTTTCAAATCCTAAAAAATACTGTAGAATCAACGTTTAATACACGCCCCCTAAATATAATTAATCATTTTTATAATAATATGTGTTTTTTATTAAAGTTTAAAAATCGATTAATTTGATTTTAAAAAATCAAATTAGACGAATAAGTTGAAAAAGAGCTAGTATCTATTGAATGAAAAGAAAAAGAGTAAATTTCATATTTAGTTCTTTACAATAGGGAGTTTTCCCAATTTAATCTTATATTATCAAATATTACCCGACAGTCCTTTTTCTATTGATATCTTTCTACAAATCGTGTTTTTTTTATTTTTTGTCATGTTGGTGTTATTTTGATGGATAAATGTATAATTTGACATCAAACTTATGTCCATTGATGTATTTTGATATAGGTTAGATGGACAACACAATAATAATGACTATGATTGAGAACAAGGATTCCGACAAAAGATCATATCTCTAGACTATGGTTGTAGTAGAAAGCAACTGTATTTCACAAATGACACATCAGAGACGGCCTCTGTGATTGTGTATGACAAAAAAGATATATTATCAGTGTAAAATTACATTTTTACCTCTGAAAATAACACTAACATGACAGAAGATCAAAAAAAGAACTATTTATGGAAAGATACATATAAAAAAGACATTTGAAATAATATTTAATACTACGTAATATTTATAAAGGATGGATTACTCAGACAAAAAGGCCTTATGAAAATATGAATGGGACAATTATCTCATTTTCTTATTTGGATTGCTTAGGTGTAAATTATATTTGCACGTAAGCATCATATTGGCGAGTCATGAGCTCCACGGCACGAGGCGAGCACGAGAGGGAGTGTGTGCCGCAGACGCCACCGCCGATTCCCGTGTCAACCCCTTCCTATGTTGTTCCCCGCTTCCTGTTAGCCGATGCTCGCCACACGCCGCCACCCTTTTTTCATCTCCCTTTCTCATCGTCTTCGTCAACTCACTATCCCGTTTCAAGACAGAAAATTTAACAAGAACAGCCCTCAAAAGGTATGCGCCCATAAATTTCTTTCAACTTTTTAACTCGTGGTTGTTAATTAGCTGATTTGGATGCATCAAATTTGAGGGTTTTCATTGTTTTCTTTAAATTACTTTTGATTCGATTCATTGTAAGGCATATGTGGAATCAGCTAAAGCTTTGATTTTTATGCGGCGTTCTTGATTGTTTGGTTTTCTAGGGTAACTTCTGTTCAGGGAGGATGACCTCATCTTCTGTGGTAGTGTGGGAGATTTGATGAAATTGAACCATTCTTTATTGTAATTTGCTACTTCTTTCGGTGAATTGTCTCTCTTTGTAAAAATATAGTCTTTGATTAAAACTTTATCAATTCTTTACCCCTTCACTTTCATATCAATTGTTGTTTATGTTGCTATTAATATGCAGTATGCACACGGACTACATATTCTAGATTTTAGAAAGTCCTATAAAATGATGGAAAATGCTACTTCTCGTTGACACCACCCAGAAACAATCCCGCATAGACAATCATTGCATGTGAGAAACTAGCGGTGTCAATCCTGGCGTCATTGTAGGATTACCATAAAATGACTGTGTTATACTCTGTAACTATAAACTGTTACTCCCTCCGTCTGGATTTAGTAGTCCACTTCCTAATTTGTTTTTTGTCCGGAATTAGTTATCCACTTAACATATTCAATACAGAGTAAAAAAAATTATGGTGCGTGATGAATTGTCTAACATACCCTACACACAGGCTATGTGCATTGTTGACATAATGAGTTAATCTCATTTGAAGGAATTATTTGACATTTAGAGTCTGTTTGGATAAGATGTGTGCAATTGGGATTTAGTGTAATTGTGCATTTTGTCATTTTTGGTTGGCTGCGTAACTACAAAATCAGCGTCTAATTGGTGTAATTAGAGGGTTCAAATTCCAAGGGAGGAACCCGTATTAGTGCAGTTACACACGCACACACACATCTAGTAATAACTAACACAAAATGTTCAATTACTTAGTAACTATGCTGTGATTGCGGAACAGTTCGCGTAATAACACATTCGTGTGATTACTACCCTAGTAATTATTGTAATTACACTTTGTTATCCAAACAAACTCTTAAAACTCATTTCTTAGAATTGAGATTTACGAGTACCTAATATCCCTTTTTTGAGAAATGAGAAGTTACTTTAATATAGAAAAGGTTGAAAATGTGTTTTAAGTTGTCTTGATTTATGAAGTAACACAAATTGTGGAAAAAAAATTTGTAACCAGAATAAACTTTTATACGAAACATGTGTTTCACAGCATCATGCGATTAAATTTTCTCTGTTTCCCCCAATTGCTAGTTAATGCTTTAAGTTTCTTCTAATCGTCTTTTAAGTTTATATTCTGATTTTTTAAAAGAATATATTCTGATGTTTAATCTTCTTGTATCCAGTTTTCTATGCAGGCTACATTTCTGGAAGAACAACAATAAAAAAGATTTTAAGAAAGAGGCTTCTGGCTGGCAAGTTGAATCTGATAAGCCTTTTGGTGAATCATGGATTCAGATAGTCCCGCTGCTCCAGTGATAGAAGACGACAACGACAACACTCCTTCAGATAGAGTGCTAAGCAGGTTTGTATAAACTTATTATTCCTTGTATCAAATCTTTCATGACATTTGAGGAGAGTCCATGGTTATGAATATTTGTAACATGAATGTTTTGGAGGGATGATTTTCTATTAAGTATATGTTAATGTCATTGGATATAAACAAAACAACATTAAACAAAATAAGCAATCATTCAGGTCCTAAATGGGTAGCTCTAATCATCTAGGTGTTTAATATTTACTCCCTCCATCCGTAATTTGTTGTCCACTTTCTTATAAATCTCATATTAAAGAACTGAGTTTAAAATGTCAAATGAACTCTTCAAATGAGTTTGTTTCATGTCAACAATCTTCCTTCATAGCCTATTAGCCTATCTCTATGGCATTCTGAAGACAATTCTTCAAGATTTCTTTATTGATTAAGATCCCTCGGCGTGCAGGGATGATCCTACTAAAAAGAAGTGCAGGAAAGTTCCAAAAAGAGTTCACAAGGCAGAGAGAGAGAAGATGAAGCGTGATCATTTGAATGATCTCTTTCTTTCTTTGGCTAATGCTCTTGGTAATTTTTAAATTCTTTTCTGTTATTATCTCTACGAAATCCCAATATTATACTTTTTTTTTTTGCTCTCTTTTCTGATGCATTTATCGGTGCAGAACTTTCAGAACAAGTGAACGGGAAGGCATCAATATTAGCTGAGACCACTCGAAATGTGAAGGACTTGTTAGCTCAAATCGAGCAGCTAAGAAGAGAAAATGCAGCTTTGTTGTCAGAATCCCAATATGTACCTTAACTTTCCCCTATCACTTCTTTCAAGTCATTGGGCACAAAAAATGCAAAAGTTTGTCCTTAGGAGAAACCAAATTTTCTTGCGTGCAGGTGAGCGTGGAGAAAACAGAACTGGAGGAGGAGAACTCTGCTCTCAAATTAAGAATCAGCGAGCTTCGAAGGGAGATAAATGATAGGGCAGCAGAATCAAATCTTGATCTGAACATAGCACCCCCAGAGTGTGAGGAGCACCAAAAGGCACAAATGGTGATGAACCCGGTTTATATTTACCCCATCGCTCCTAGCGTGGGACCCACCTCTGCCCCACACACTGCTGCCGGAGTGAGTAAACCCTTGGCCAGATATGCGTCTCCAGCGGATGAAGCATGGTCGGCTCAGATCCTCGGCGAACGCCCTCGGGTGTTAGGGGAGGAACTTCAGGTTGGTGGGGAGAAGAGTGGTTTCGCCGTCTTGTAAGGACTTAGGGGGTATTATTAACTACAGCAGCAGCATAGATGCATTTTGATTTCATCACTGGCTCTTCTGCTGTAATATTTGAATCTCAGATCAAACAAATCGATGCTTTGTGTATATGTTGGCTTGTGTTTTCGCCGGACACCCTTAATTCTTACAAGTCATCCACTAATCACTTTTGGTCCCAAATTAATGGTGACTAGTTAGTTCCTAAATGCTAAATAATCAGCCTACACTACTACTCTGTAACTATCTATACATCTTCTTGAGCTAGCTAGGATCTCAGCTCACAGAAGAGGTTAACACAAATAAATAAATGAAGAAAGAGAAACAATGGTAGCGGCCGGATGGAGTAGGCGTTGAAGAATGAAGATGGTTATTGTCTTGCTTTCCTCTCCTTCCATGTCATAACTGAATGTTGTAGCTTAGAAGGAACATGATGAAGCCATAATAATAATAATAATAATAATAATAATAATAATAATAAAATAATAATAATAATAGTAGTAGTAGTAGTAGTAGTAGTAGTAGTAGTAGTAGTAGTAGTAGTAGTAGTAATAGTAATAATAATAGTAATAATAATAATAATAAATAATAATAATAATAATAATAATAATAATAATAGTAATAATAATAATAATAGTAATAATAAATAATATTAATAATAAAACTATTGCCTTCACCTGATCTGAATGATTCTGATTTGATTGGAATAAATACTAATCTAATCTCATCTCAATGTAGTTATATTAAAAATTATTTTTGATCTGATCTGGTCTGATTTCATCTGAATTGATTTCAATAATAAAAAGTACTAAGTAATAAAAATAAATGGAAGAGAACATGATTTTAGGAACTATAATAGAATACATAATTTGTCATATTTAGCCTAAAAGCCCATTTATGGAATAATTTTAATTTGAAAAATTGAGAATCATATGTGTAATATTTTATAACTAAAGACTGAATATGAAAAATTACTTGTAATTAAGGACTATTTAAAAAATTACTTTTGTAAAATCATTACTTAAATAAGCATGACTAATAATATAATGTTTACTCTTTAAAAAAACTTGGTATAATGTTTATATTTATAGAGAACTTGAATAATAGAGAGTAGTAAAAAAGAATAAAAATATTAGAATAGGAGTTTTAAACCTTTTGGAACAAAAATAAAAAATTCACACAATTATTATTACATTGACACACTGACGATGCTATCACACTGCCGGTTGCCGTCTTGCCCTCATTATTATTCTAATCAGATGCGTGTTAATTAGAAAAAACAAAAAATAACTCCGTACTCCGTAGTGAATATGTCTTGAACGTGTTTTAGGACAACAATTTTTTTCGTAATCTCAAAATTTATATTCATTTTATGGACCTTAATGTATTGATAAGGTAAAAGAATTGAGTCTTTTGTAAAAAATGGAAAATTATACTACCCCAATTGTTAGCAAATAAAAGGGAGATGCTAAGGGTACACCAAAGGTGTACCTCATTTATTTCTCACCCCCTCTATAACCACTCATTTCAATTTGATTTTTATTTACTTAATTTTTTTTTAATTTTTTTGCCTATTTGAATGGTGATGGAGGGGATGAGGGATAAATACATTTGGTGTACCCCTAGTATTTTTCCAAATAAAAAATGTGAGAAAATCTAAGGAAACAGTACGGTTGAAGTTTCACACTTTCCGATAAGCCAACCTCGACAGTGGCGCTACACTGTTTTTCTCTTCTTTTCGCCGGACTTTGGAGTAATCGTGAGTCGTGACTAATATTAGCTCTTAAATATAGATTAACAGCTCTACATATGTAACGTAACCCTCTTGAGGATCTCAGCTCGCGCAGAAGAAGGTAAGAAAAAGAGAATTAATTTCGCTGCTTCTTCCCTTTGAAGATGGTATCTAGCGGCGTTGCAACCCTAGCTAAACTGATCCTCCAGAACTTTGATTCGATCCTTGGGTGATTTTCTCTTGCCTCCCTTCTTAATTTCTTTTGGAATTCATTGGTTTTATTTAGACTTTGTTGTCGAGATTGAACCCCAATATTCATGGGTTATATATATATATTCTCTTGATTTCACTAATTTCTTTGATTTTTCCTTTGAATCTGCAGGCCCATTGTTAGTCTTGTTTATCCTCTGTAAGTGTGAATTCTGTTTTCTTGCTTCTTTTTTTCCATTAAAGATGAAGTCTTTTGCCTGCTGGTTCACTCTTGATGTGATTTATTGCTTAATTTATAATTTCTTTAATGTGTGAACATGTTTTAAGTTTTGATTTTGAGCAATGGGTTTTAACCATGGGCAGGTGTGAGTCAATCAGGGCTATCGAGACCAAAAGTCCCGAAGATGATCAGCAATGGCTCACCTACTGGATTCTGTATTCAATGATTACCCTTTTCGAGCTTACATTTGCGAAAGCCATTGAATGGTATTCCCGGTTTATCTCAAGAACAGATATAGCTTCGTAGTATTATTGATATTTACTGCTGTCCCAAAGAAAGAGGCTTGTTTGTAATACTAAAAATAGTATTACACGCAAGACTCTATTTTGGGATGGGAGAAGTATTCTTTAATACATCTAACACTTGAAATGATTTACAAAAACGAAGGTTGGTTTTGGCTTGCAGGATATCGATATGACATTCTCTGTATTTGCACACATTTATACTTCTCTAGGTATATAGTAAGATGCACTTGTGTAAGAAAACTTTCATATTAACCACAACGCTTTATAATTGAGCATTTTTGCCACATGGCATGGAAAAAGCTCTTTCCATTTTAATCAGCATCTAAATAGGAAATATGAGAGTATCATTTAAGACATCTGAATCCCCTAGAATTTCACCTCACACTTGCTTCTCTAGGCAAGCTTTGCATGTAATGTGTTTACTAGTTTTGGAATGGGAGAAATCTTTGGGTATATGGACTTCATGGGAACTTCATTGAATGAGATATGCAACTTCAAATAAGCAATGATTAAGCCCTTGTTTGGTTGGGGGATTTTAAATGTGTGGAGGGATGATATTTGTTCTACTAATTCATTCTAACATGTAGATGGTATGAGAGAAAGTGAAGGGTAAATGTTTATATGTATAGACACACACATGATTTGATTCATGTTGTGAATGTCAGGATCCCGATCTGGTCATATGTGAAACTGATTGTAACATGCTGGTTGGTCTTGCCTTACTTTAGTGGTGCCGCATGTGTGTACGAAAACCTTGTCAGGCCCTACATTGTGAAACGAGAAGCTATTAACATCTGGTATGTGCCGCGCTTCGGCAAACAAGAGGACATCCTAACTGCAGCAAGGAAGTACATTGCAGAACATGGAACCGCAGATTTCGAGGAGATTATTAACGAGGTGGTATACTACTTTTTCATAGGTTTCGTTGTATTGATCCATCTTTCTCACATACATACATACTCCTTGCAGGCCCGAAGAGGATCAAAGTCCGGGAAGCGGTTATGAAGAGCGACATTCATATATATTGAGATATATGTGAGTGTGATTGTAAGTGCAAACTGGTTTGTTGAGGAATATATATAGTAGTTACCCATTTAACCTTTGTAAAGAATGTTTCCCCTTTCAACTCTGGCAGTTTAGTGCGTACCCAAGTCTATTAATCATATGTATTGTTTGGGGTATGTGCTGAAAAATGCTTTGCGTTCTACCTCGAAATGAAGATGAGCCTTTGTATGTGACAAATGTACATTTGGCATTTGCATTCGGCCATTCTCCACCCCCACCACATTCGTTCCAAGTAGGGGGTGCCCAAACACGATTTGCTTCATACCAAAACCCTAACCGGGAAAATGCAATTTGTTTGTACTTTTTTTAAAATAATAAAAGGCGATTTTTGGGCACTAGGGACATCTCCAAGCATTTTCGCCTCCAACATGTGGTCGTCGGAGCGGCAACTATTAAAAATTTTTGCTATTCGTACTATCCTCATGGTTCTAGCTCTATATCAGATTGTCATCATATTCCTAGTTTTCACTATTTTTGTTATGTTTTGATCTTATTTAAAAGCTTCCATGCTAGTATCTCTTAGATGATGTTCAAGAGTGGATCCTACACAAACAAACACCATTTTTAACATTTATTTTCATCAACGGTAGCATTTCTTTTAGATGTCTAGTGGGTTGTACATTTCATTTGTCATTTAATTTTTACAAACATTTGTTATAATTAAATGATAAATGGAATGCACGACTTATTATCTAGAATGTACCATCAGAGTACATTATTACAAATTTCAAGGATTCTTGGAGTATATTTTAGATAATGTGGATTTGAAAGTTCTTACTGGAAAATTAAAGATACGCCGAAGTATATTTAAGATAATGTGAGATCTGAGAATTATTATTAGAAAATCAATAATACTCTTTCCGTCCCAAACTAAATTGTCTTATTACTATTCAGAAGGTCAAGTGTCGTTTATTTTTTTTCTATTTTCGTTTGTCGTTGGATAAAATAAAATAGTCATATCACCACTAGTTTAATAGATCTTTTGATGTCAAATTTTAATATGCAATTTTTATTTTTAATTTTACACCATTTGTATATAAAATAATTTTAAAAAAATTTCAGTTAAATATCGTAAATGGAGACAGACTATATAAATTAAGGAGGGGTACTAACCGTACTATTCTTTTTCTCCCGCCATCTGAGCCCTACCCCCAAAATGGCACGTAACCTCTCATCTCATCTTCGCGACGAAAAAAAAAAATCACCCGAAATCAAATCCTCCCTCGCTATGCCCCGTTTCCGTTTCTCCTTCTTCTCCTTCTCGATGAATTCTGGAGATGGAAGAGGAGGAGGCGCGGGGCATGAAGAGCCAACTTCTCTGAGTTATTTTGACAAACGATTCGAATTCCGAGAGACAAATCTTCCGGAATGGGGAATTGCTTCAGAAGGCCTCAGCGTATTTGCGAAACCCCAAAACTTGGAAGCTTTTCGATTCCTGCCTCTGCCTCAACAACCACTCGCACTACATCTACTGGTAATTCTCTCTCGGCATACACAGATCATTGTTGAATTTGCTTTGTGCAATTTGCGTCCTTTTCGTGCTATCGATTTTCTTGTGCAATTTGGTTTCTTTTCTGAATCTATCGTTTCTCTGGAAATTCCCTCATAGTATTGTGCAATTCGTGCTCGTATTGATTCTGGGCATAATTTTGTTTAATAGTTTCAAGTT